GTGTTAAATAGTGAGGGAGTGATATGAAACAGCTGGGTGCAATCAGTGTAAACAGGTGTGTGCAATTCGTGCTGAGTGCAATCAGTGCAATGCATAATGGGAAATGTAGTCCGGGGTGATGTGCAACAGTGTGTAGTGCGAGAGTCAATGAATAGGAAAGTTCGTGGACCGGATTCATGACACCATTGCACTGCTGGACGGAATTTCCTGAGCACTGTATAGCTGGTTTTTCTCAATAAAATCATCGTATTTATGACATATAACCTATTAATGCATGGTCCAAGGAAAGCCTGTGGATTTCCAGTCAAATAAGTTAAGGGTGGGCAGGTGACAAGTGACAGCTGTAACTTATTTGACAGGGCCTCCAGGCCCCTTCAAATAAGTTACGGGTGGGCATGCAGTGGTGAAATTCACCAAAATCCAACTCCAATTCCCAACATCAGCAAGTGACATCTGTAACTTATTTTATGGTACCTAAATAGGCTTTCCGTGGAGAGACCTTTTTTGAGGTAAATATGAATATTGATGAGTTCTAATGTTTATGAACTTGTCAGACGGTGTCTCCAGAGTGTAGCACTGTACGTTTTGCATAAGAAAATGATTAAAAAATTAAATTATGACTCGTTAATGCATTGTCCACGGATAGCCTGTGGAGGCCCCGTCAAATAAGTTACGGGTGGCCAAGTTACAAGTGACAGCTGTAACTTATTTGACGGGGCCTCCACAGGCTTTCCGTGGACGGTGTATTTTTATGCAAATTAACACATTGCACTGCTGGACGGCATTTCCTGAGCACTGTATAGCTGTTTTTTCTCAATAAAATCATCGTATTTATGACATATGACCTATTAATGCACTGTTCGCGGAAAGCCTGTGGAAGCCAAGTCAAATAAGTTACGGGTGGGCAGGCAGTGGTGAAATTCACCAAAATCCAACTCCAATTCCCAACATCAGCAAGTGACAACTGTAACTTACTTGATGGTACCTACGTAGGCTTTCCATTGACAGACATTTTTCGAGGTAAATATGAATATTGATGAGTTGTAATGTACATGAACTTGTCAGACGCTGTTTCCCAAGTGTACTTACCAAATTTCTTGTAACATAAATAAATAAATGTGTTTTACATGATAAAATCATCATTATGGCCAGGAGGACTAAAAGGCTTTTCGTGGTCACATATGAGGTCAGGGGGACAAATAGGCTTTTTGCGGTCACATGGGCGGTCCTGGGGACGAATATGCTTTTCGTAGTCAAATAGGTGGTAAGTGGGATGAATACGCTTTTCGTGGTCAAATAGGTGGTAAGTGGGACGAATTGGCTGTCCGAGGCAAAAATGCCCGTGGACGGCCACCCCCAACCTATTCGACGGGCATCGCGTAAGCGCCCCGCGTCAGGAGTCCGCCCCCCCTGTGGCCGACCTACAGATTGCAACAAAATGAGCAAAAAAGTGCCCAGATCCGTCGCCGTTCCGTGGGGGCGGGAAAAATCGTCTAGGCGGCAGCGCGCAGCATCCACGAACCGCATGACACTGGGCGCTTATCAGGCTGTGCGAGGACCCCTCTGCAAAAGTGGTGGCCTTACGGGCGCAAGGCCTGTAGGCCATTTCATTTGCAAACCTCCCCTCAGCTTCTGCCGAAAAATGAATACCCCGTACAATAATGGCAAAAAAGTCATTATTGTTGTACAGTCTAAGAAAAATTACTCTAAATTGATGTGCGCATAACCAGTAGTTTTTGCTTTATCCCTGCTAGCCTTAACCAACAAACACTCTTAAGCTGTCCAGTTCCTTGCCCGCGAGTCTCTGGCCACTTTCAACTGGTGGATTGTCTCCTTGGGCTATTGCTGACCCTGATGGTCCCTCTGCTTTTCGAGCCACACTTAAATTGTGCAGAGGCCCGAGGATCTTTCCGTCCTGCCCATAGAGGCATTAGTCAGGCACAGGGGTAGCGAGGAGTGCAAAGGCAGCAGGCGGTTCCATACCTTTCCCGCAAGTCTCTGGCCTCTTCTCTGGATGCTTTGATCCTCTGAATCGCCCTCCCAGTAAACGCACTTGTAGCTGGCGCCGTGGCTTAGTTGGTTAAAGCGCCTGTTTAGTAAACAGGAGATCCTGGGTCCGAATGCCAGCGGTGCCTTTTGAGAGATCACGTGCACCTCCTAGGCAATGCCAGCTTTTTATCGAGTGCAAGGCCTGTAGGCCGTTTCATTTGCAAACCACCCCTCAGCTTCTGCCGTAAAATGATGGCCTGGACCAGGGGTTGGCAAGTTCTGTCCTAGAGAGTCGTAGTCCTGCAGAGTTCAGCTCCAACCCTAAAAAAAAACTCACCTGCCAATAGCCTTTTTATTCCTGTAGACATTGATTAGCCTGTTCAGGTGTGTTTGATTATGGTTGGAGCTGAACTCTATAGGACTGCAACTCTCTAGGACCGAACTTGCCTACCCCTGGCATGGATTAGTTCACATTGGCGCTGTGGCTTAGCTGGTCAAAGCACCTGTTTAGTAAACAGGAGATCCTGGGTTAGAATCCCAGCGGTGCCTTTTGAGAGATCACGTGCACCTCCTAGGCAAAGCCAGCTTTTGATCGAGCGCAAGTCCTGTAGGCCATTTCATTTGCAAACCACTCTGCCGAAAAATGATGGCCTGGACCAGGGGTAGGAAGTTCTGTCCTAGAGAGTCGTAGTAAGGCAGAGTTCAGCTCCAACCCTGGAAAAAAACTCACCTGCCAATAGCCTTAGTAATCCTGTAGACATTGATTAGCTTGTTCAGGTGTGATTGATTACGGTTGAAGGTGAACTCTGCAGGACTGCGGCTCTCTAGGACTGAACTTGCCTACCCCTGGCATTGACTAGTTCACATGGGCGCTGTTGCTTAGCTGGTCAAAGCACCTGTCTTGTAAACAGGAGATCCTGGGTTCGAATCCCAGCTGTGCCTTTCAACTGGTGGTTTGTATCCTTGGGCTGTTTCTGAACCTTATGATCCCTCTGCTTTTCGAGCCACACTTCAATTGTGCAGAGGCCCGAGGACCTGTCCTTCCTGCCCACAGAGCATGTGACCTCTCAGCATTGATCAGGCACAAACCCAGAGGAGAAATTTTCAGGTGCCTCTTCCAGACAAGGCAGCAGGCTCTGTGGCGCAATGGATAGCGCATTGGACTTCTAGATTGCCAGATGAGGCTATTCAAAGGTTGTGGGTTTGAGTCCCACCAGAGTCGTGTAGTTTGGGTTTTTGTTAAGCCTTATACTGCACACTGTTGCACGCCGGCAACAGAAAGTTGTAGATAAGCTGTTTTAAGCTGTCCAGGGCCAGGCCCGCGGACCATTGGCTTCACCGCTGGATGGCACGATCTTCTGAGCCGCCCTCCCGGAATTTATGCTTGCCTTTTGGTGCCGTGGCTTAGTTGGTTAAAGCGCCTGTCTCGTAAACAGGAGATTCTGGGTTCGAATCCCAGCAGTGCCTTTGTCAGCGCTCGCACACGTCAAAAGCATGCTTTTCTGAGATCGGACTCTGAACAGGGGTAGCAAGGAGTGCAAAGGCAGCAGGCGGTTCCATTAACAAACTGCCCCACGTCATCTGCAGAAAAACACGGTTGTGGCTAGAAGGGATAGAGCAAAAACCGGAAGCTCACAATAAATTGCTTTTTCTACATGTTCAATTGTGTTTTATTAACGTCTACACCTACCCCGTACAATAATGGCAAAAAAGTAATTATTGTTGTACAGTCTAAGAAAAATTACTCTAAATTGATGTGCGCATAACCAGTAGTTTTTGCTGTATCCCTGCTAGCCTTAACCAACAAACACTCTTAAGCTGTCCAGTTCCTTGCCCACGAGTCTCTGGCCTCTTTAATCTGGTGGATTGTCTCCTTGGGCGATTTCTGACCCTGATGGTCCCTCTGCTTTTCGAGCAACACTTCAATTGTGCAGAGGCCCGAGGACCTGTCCTTCCTGCCCACAGAGCGTGTGACCTCTCAGCATTGACCAGGCACAAACCCAGAGGAGAAATTTTCATTTGCCTCTTCCAGACACCGCAGCAGGCTCTGTGGCGCAATGGATAGCGCATTGGACTTCTAGATTGCCAGATGAGGCCATTCAAAGGTTGTGGGTTCGAGTCCCACCAGAGTCGTGTAATTTGGGTTTTTGTTAAGCCTTATACTGCACACTGTTGCACTCCGGCAACAGAAAGTTGTAGATAAGCTGTTTTAAGCTCTCCAGGGCCAGGCCCGCGGACCATATGCTTCACCACTGGATGGCACGTTCTTCTGAGCCGCCCTGCCGGAAGCTGTGAAAAAAGTAATTATTGTTGTACAGTCTAAGAAAAATTACTCTAAATTGATGTGCGCATAACCAGTAGTTTTTGTTGTATCCCTGCTAGCCTTAACCAACAAACACTCTTAAGCTGTCCAGTTCCTTGCCCGCGAGTCTCTGGCCTCTTTCAACTGGTGGATTGTCTCCTTGGGCTATTTCTGACCCTGATGGTCCCTCCGCTTTTCGAGCCACACTTAAATTATGCAGAGGCCCGAGGACCTTTCCGTCCTGCCCACAGAGGCATTGGTCAGGCACAGGGGTAGCGAGGAGTGCAAAGGCAGCAGGCGGTTCCATTAACAAACTGCCCCACGTCATCTGCCAAAAAACACGGTTGTGGCTAGAAGGGATAAAGCAAAAACCGGAAGCTCACAATAAATTGCTTTTTCTACATGTTCAATAGTGTTTTATTAACGTCTACACCTACCCCGTACAATAATGGCAAACAAGTAATTATTGTTGTACAGTCTAAGAAAAAT